AAAAAAAAAAAAAAGAAAAATGGAAACAATCTCACAACCCTCACCTACTTATTACTATTTTAGGCATTTTCTCATCTAAAACTAATGTATACATACTTTTACATGTTTCCAATTACAATGTATGAAATTTCTTTTTTTAATATTTTATCATAATCTGTTTCCATATTGCAACATAATTATGATTATTTTCATGACAGTATAATTTCCATAAAGTTAATTACCGTAATTTGGCTAACCGTTCCAGCTGTTGTTGGTTGCTAGGTTGCTACCAGTTTTTTTCTTTTATAAATGATGCTATAATGAATACCTTCATAATTTTGACAATACTAGTGAAGAGTTATAAACCTTTTGCATCTTTGCATACAGCATTATTTTGCGAAGCAATATAAAATCATATACTATTTTTGAATAGCATATAATTTGAATGAAGCTGTCCATTACTGCTGCTTCTTTATTGTAGTAACTAATATATAACAAAACATTTACCATTTTATCCTTTCTTTTCCCTTGAAACAAGGTCTCACTCTGTAGTGGTGTGATCATAGCTCACTGTAACCTTGAACTCCTGATCTCAAGGGATCCTCTCACCCCAGCCTCCCAACTAGCTAAGACTGCAAGCATGAACCACCATACCCAGCTAATTTTTTTATTTTTTTGTGGAGATGGGGTCTTGCTGTGTTGCCCAACCTGGTCTTGAGCTCCTGGCCTCACAGAATCCTGCCTCAGCCTTCCTTTTGAGTAACTGGGGTTACAGATCCATGCCTGCATACCTATTAATTTTTTATAGAGACAGAATTTTGCTACATTGCCCAAGCTGATCCTGAACTGATGGCCTCAAGCAATCCTTATGCCTCAGCCTCTCAAAATTTTGAGATCCTATGTATGAATACTGCACCTGATCTGTTTTAACCATTTTCAAATGTACAATTCAGTGGCATTCACAATGTTGTGCAACCGTCACCACTATCTGTTACCAATGTTCTGTAGCCATTAAACACTCACGATTTCTCCCTCCCCTCAGTCCCTGGAAACTAATCTACTTTCTGTCTCTATTAAGTTGCCTGTTTTATTACAAAGGTTTCACGTAAGTGGAGTAATACAATGTTTGTCCTTGTATATAACTGGCAGTGGTTTCAAGGTTCATCTGTGTTGAGCATATGTCCAAATTTCTTTCTTTTTTTTTTTTTGAGACAGAATCTCAAGCTGTCACCCTGGGTAGAGTACCGTGTTGTCAAAACCTCAAACTCTTGGGCTTAAGTGATTCTCTCTTGCCTCAGCCTCCCAGTAGCTGGGACAACAGGTGGCCACCACAACACCGAGCTATTTGTTGTTGTTGTTGTAGTTGTCATTGTTGTCTGGCAGGCCCAGGCCGGATTTGAACCTGCCAGCTCTGGTGTGTGTGGCTGGCACCCTAGCCGCTGAGCTATAGGTGCCGAGCCATGAATTTTATTTCTTTTTGTAGCTGAGAGATATTCCATTGTGTGTATGTATGTATATTCATTTATCCATTTATCAACATCGACAGACTTCGCTTGTTTCTGTCCTTTTTTTTCCTGTCTTTTGGGTATTGTGAATAATGCAGTGAATATTGACGGGAACGCCTCTGTATGGGCTCTGCACCTGTAGCTCAGTGGCTAGGGCACCTGCCACATACACCGGAGCTTGTGGGTTTGAATCTGGCCTGGGCCTGCCAAACAACAATAACAACTACAACCCTCCCCCCCCCCAAAAAAGAAAATAGCTGGGCGTTGTGGCAGGTGCCTGTGGTGCCAGCTACTTGGGAGGCTGAGGCAAGAGAATTGCTTAAGCCCAAGAGTTGGAGGTTGCTGTGAGCTGGGATGCCACAGCTCTCTACCCAGGGCGACAGCTTGAGATTCTGTCTCAAAAAAAAGAAAAAGAAAGCATCTGTATGGGTCCCTGATTTAAACTCTTTTGAGTCCATGCCAGGAGTGGGATTGTTGAATCATATGATAATTCTATATTTAACTTTTTGAGGAGCTGCCAAACTTCTCCAGAGCGGCTGCAACATTTCACATTCTTGCCAGCAACTTTCTCCACATTCTCACCAACACTTGCTATTTTCCTTCTTTTCTTTCTTTCCTTCTTTCTTTCTTTCTTTCTTTTTTTTTTTGAGAAAGAGTCTCAATTTGTCACCCTGGGTAGTGTGCTGTGGCGTCACAGCTCATAGCAACCTCAAATTCTTGGGCTTAAGCAATACTCCTGCCTCAGCCTCCCAAGCAGCTGGGACTACAGGCGCCTGCCACAATGCCCGGCTGTTTTCTGGTTCCAGTTGTCATTGTTTAGCAAGCCTGGGTCAGGTTTGAGCCCTTGGTGTATGTGGCCAGCACCCTGCCGACTGAGCTATGGGCACTGCCAAAACTTGCTGTTTTCTGACTTTATATATAATTTTTTTTTATTTTTGAGATCTTAGTAAGTATGAAGCGATTGTTTATTTGTTTATTTATGTATTTTGAGAGTCTCACTTTGTCACCCTCAGTAGAGTTCCATGGCATCATAACTCACAATAATCTCAAATTCTTGGGCTCATGCAAATCCTCTTGCCTTAGCCTATGGGAGCCTGACACAACACAAGCACGACTCTGGCTTAGGCTGATCTCCAGCTCCTGAGCTCAAGCAATCCACCTGCCTCAGCCTCCCAGAGTGCTGGGATTGTAGGCATGAACCAGGGTACCTGGCCTAGATTGTTTATTCTTTCTAAATATACTTCTGCCTGGGAACATCAATGATGTTTCCTGAAATAAGCAAAAACTTCTTTCATAAGCTTAGCAGAAGCAGGTGAAAGCCACAGCCACAGCAGTGCCAACATAATACAGTTATTCACTTAACTAATACTGCCAATGTGACAAAAAAATGATGTCAAAAAGCTTTATCCTTGGGTGGTGCCTGTGGCTCAAGGAGTAGGGCATCGGCCCCATATGCCAGAGCTGGTGGGTTCAAATCCAGCCCTGGCCAAAAACTGAAAAAAAAAAAAAAAAAAAAAAAAGCTTCATGCTTACTATTTTTCACAAACTCAATACATAGAGTAAATGTCAAAGAATATAAAACACTACCCCAAATTCCATGACCCCTAAATAACCATCATTACCATTGAGAACTCTAGACAGTTTTCCGAGTGAGTATACGGGTAAAAGGATACACAGACATTTTGTCAAATAGAAAGATATGTACGGCATTTTAATTAAAAAGAAAAAATAGGGTGGTGCCTGTGGCTTAGTGGGTAGGGTGCCAGCCCCATATACTGAAGGTGGTGGGTTCGAACCTGGCCTGGCCAAACTGCAACAAAAAATAGCTGGGCGTTGTGGCAGGTGCCTATGGTCCCAGCTACAGGGGAGGCTGAGGCAGGAGAATCACCTAAGCCCAGGAGTTGGAGGTTGTTGTGAGCTGTGACACCATAGCACTCTACAAAAAAAAAAAAAAAAGATAAATAAATAAATAAAAGAAAAAGAATAAGAAAAAATATTGGGTGGCGCCTGTGGCTCAAAGGAGCAGGGCGCTGGCCCCATATCTGGAGGTGGTGGGTTCAAACCTGCCCCTGGCCACAACTGCAAAAAAGAAAAGAAAAGAAAAGAAAAGACTCCAGCGAGGTTAAATAAGTACAAATAAACACACCCCAAATTCTAAAAAAAAAAAAAAAAAATTAGGAGAAAAACTGAAATGAAACTAAAGTAACTACTGAAGTTGAGGTAAATATTGTTTTACTATGAGATCCTACTTACTAAAAGATACATCTAAAAAGAAAATTTGGGAAAACATTAAGAGGTGGGAGTTACTGTGTTTCTTTCTTTTTTTTCTTTTGAGACAATCTCAAGCTATTACCCTGGGTTGAGATCTGTGGCATCATAGCTCACAGCAACCTCTAACTCTTGAGCTCAAGTGATCCTATTGCCTCAGTTTTTCTATTTTTAGTAGAAACAGGTATCGATTTTTGCTCAGGCTAGTTTCCAACTCGTGAGCTCAAGCAATCCACCTGCCTTGGCCTCTCAGAGTGCT